ACTTCCTTTATCCTTTATGCATTCTTTTTTTAAATTCCATTCAATTCCATACAAACATGTCCGTGTAATCCTTTTCTGCGCTTCTAATCTACTGCATCAGTCCATTTGTCTACTATGAAAGGCGGGACACGATACATTATTTCAAGCCAAATATCATGAGTAAATCTTTGCGCCTTTTCTTTGGCAAGCTCGGCTGTCTCCGTAAATTCCGACCTGCTCGTTGGAGTTTACGAAGACAGCCGCCATTTTGGACCACCGCTTCAAATTTAGAAATGCCAATATCTAGAGTATGGATTTATCAATTTTCAAACAAATTATATAGTATGTATTCTGTAGGAGATATTTATCAACCCTCTAAATATTATTAAAAAATATTGAAAAACAAAAAAGTTTAAAAAAATTCCACTTTTTAAATTCGCTTCCGGTAGCGACCGGAAGTACTGACTACGCACGAAAAGGAGATTCCGCATTTCTAAAAGACATGCCCTATACTCTCTAACAAGTCTCCAGTTCATATCTTTTACTATTTTTGCAAAAAAGGGGCGACAAAATTTCATTTTAAAATCAGGAAACTGTCCATAACTTGGAACCGGAAGGGAATTGTACAAAAAATCTTCTAAATGTAACAATGGCATTAAATAGCGCATTATCCCTGAAAGTTTGATGAAAAACCACTGAATAGTTCTCGAGATATTGCGTGCACAAAATTTGTCTAAAAAATAAGAATAATAATGATAACTAGAGCAAAGCTCGTTGCAAAGCAACGAGTAGGTCTTCCGTCCGATTTACGATGTTGACTGTGATAGATTTACTCAAAAAAAAAAAAAAAAAAAAAAAAGAAGGAAGAAAAGTATAATTGAATAAAATAGGCGATTGATTTATTCAAAATATGTTCAGAAACACGTGAAAGAGTGATATCTTTTAATTTCAACCCATTTTCGGTTCTTTTTAAATTCACTTCCGGTTTGACAAGAAGTGCTCAAAACGACTTAAAACTCCACAGTGAGTGTGTACAAATCTTTCCTGAAAGTTTGGATGAAAAATATTCATTTTTTGGACAACTTCCTCTTTAAAAGTACAACTTCCGGTGGAAATGAAATGACTTGAAACACTATAGATGTCAATGTTATAAACATTTAAAAATAAAAAAAAGTCAAAAATTGCATATTTTTAAGCTACTTCTGGTGGACAACGGAAGTGATGCCGGAAAAAACGAAACACCGGAGACAAATGTACAGATCATGATCTATTATCACAGAATGTTTCATGACTCCATCTTCAACCATTTTTGAGAAGAAGCACAGTCAAAATTTCAATTTAAAAAGAGAAAATCAAGTATAACTCGCGACCGGAAGTGACATCATCAAAATAAAAAAAAAAATGCCTTAAGTTTATGTAATTTGCCATCATTGCTGAAAGTTTCATGAAAATCCATCGATGCATTTACGAGAAATCGCGTGCACAAAATCGGTAAGAATAATAAAAAAAGTTGAAAAGAAACAACAGAATAATAAGAAGGTCTTCCGTTGAGACGGAAGACCTTAATAAGAAACAGTAGAATCACTATAAGGTCATCCGTGAAGACGGAAGACCTTAATAATAATAATACAGATCTGTGATCAGGGACCTTGGAAATTCCAGAGTTAGGATCAAGTGTCTTTCAGAAGTAAGCATCCTCTGGTGACCGGTCACACCTGCTGTTTGCCCTAGGCATTAATCGGTATACGGAACATTTGAAGTAGTCAAAATTAGTATAAAACAAAGGCTTAACAATTGGTATGAAATATCAGTCAAAATACAACCAATTGATAGGTTGTTTTTGCGGCTGTATTATGTATATATTTAGATCAAATATATACAACTGTATCTAAAGACTAGGTTTCAAGCTTATTTATCTTTTTTATTACTTTTTTCATATTTCACACTTTGAGCAAAACTAAGATATAAATAAATGTGCACTTTCAAGAAAACGATTTAAACCAAAAATAAAACAATTCTTTAATTTTTTTTTATAAGCGTCAATCAACGAACAAACTACAAAGCAAGAGTTTCCTATTGAGAAATAATTCCGATAAAAATAATTTTGTTTCAGGCAACCATTATTAGCTTGTTGACATACAAAAAGTAAGACGAGAGCTTCTCATTTGATCAAAGTTATCAAATGTCTCTTTCAAAATTTTTGGTGGAGGAGAGTCTGGGTTTTATTTTTCTAAAATAAAAATGAATTATTAAAAAAAAACGGATTTTTTTTTCGTTAGATTTCAAGCATGTATATAAGCATAAAACCTAAAGACTATTACTTAATGCTACTTAAAATTTTATGCTTAAACAGCACTGTTAAAGGGTATTTACAGTGTATTCTTGAAAAAAAAATGAAAAAACGACATTCAAAAGAAATTCAAAATAATTAAGTATGTTAATACAAATGAACATTGGTAGTATCTTAAATTTCGATGCATAAAAAGAGGAAGCATTTAATTCTGAAGTATTAAGCTTAGAATAACGTACATTGTATAAAGTGTAAAGTATAAATGATAAAGTAATACATGTATAATAACGTACATTGTATAAAGTGTAAAGTATAAATGATAAAGTAAAACATGTATAATAACGTACATTGTATAAAGTGTAAAGTATAAATGATAAAGTAATACATGTATAATAACGTACATTGTATAAAGTATAAATGAAAAGTAATACATGTATAATAACGTACATTGTATAAAGTGTAAATGATAAAGTAATACATGTATAATAACTTACATTGTATAAAGTGTAAAGTATAAATGATAAAGTAATACATGTATAATAACGTACATTGTATAAAGTGTAAAGTATAAATGATAAAGTTATACATGTATAATAACTTACATTGTATAAAGTGTAAAGTATAAATGATAAAGTAATACATGTATAATAAATTTCATTGTATTAAGTGTAAAGTGTAAATGATAAAGTTATACATGTATAATAACGTACATTGTATAAAGTGTAAAGTATAAATGATAAAGTAATACATGTATAATAAATTTCATTGTATTAAGTGTAAAGTGTAAATGATAAAGTAATACATGTATAATAACGTACATTGTATAAAGTGTAAAGTATAAATGATAAAGTAATACATGTATAATAAATTTCATTGTATTAAGTGTAAAGTGTAAATGATAAAGTAATACATGTATAATAACGTACATTGTATAAAGTGTAAAGTGTATTTTATGGGCAGGGTACTTTTTTTCATTTTATTGTTTTTTGACGCTTTAGCTTCATCACTACAATTCTTAGGATACAGAGTAAAATTATATGTACATCCTGGTACAAAACTAGAAATCAACTTCCGGGATTAAATTCCGCAGAAAATGGGGTGAGTTATTGTAATGAATGTAGCTAGATTTGAAAGGAAGGTAGATGGTCAAACATCACTTGCTGACCAGTATTAAGAATCATAAATGCGCGATAACGATGGGTATGACCTGTGAAAACGGGACACATTTTTACGGAATTTTGAGACTGTCCATAGACTCCATACATGTATGTCATTATTTGACTTAAATATGTAAGTTGTTTATGTTTTATTCCTAAATACTTCAAAATTCTCAATGGAAATGAGCATGCTTTTGCTGAGAAAAATTAAAATAAAAATCAATACACATTTCAAACTATTTACATTTCCAACTTTTTTTCTCTTTGATATCTCTTTAAAAGTTAAGTGTGTTAATTTCTCGATAATAACAATTTGATGTTAATTTCGTCCAGTGAAAGGTCAAGTGCCTCATTTGCATGTCAATTTCCCGGGCTGCCATTGTGTCTGACGTCAGTGGGCGGGGACTATGGAAATTAACATAAAATGCTTCGTGTAATTCAATTTTAGGATATAGCATTTTTTATTTATTTTCACATTTTTATTATATAGGCCTAAATGTAAATATCGCCCGTTATGCATTAATTATCCCACGTTTCGTTTCCAACTGTCGTTAATGTCCCTTGCATACCCAATTTAACAAACTAGACAGTGGTTCTTTAAATAAGCTCACTATTTTGGAACGTTTCGATTGCATGAAAAATAAAACTGTCCTGTGCTACCAATATCTGACAAAAATTATTTAAGTCACCCAGAGGAAAGGCTGAATGATTGAGCATAATACATGTACATCACATCTAGAAGTGTTGAATACCATTTGTATCTGTCAGGGTAGGGTATATCTTACTAGACCAGATACAATGTCATACATGACGTATGCATTTTTTAAAAAATAAGTCAGGCTAGGTAAAATAAAGATTTTCTTCCCCGTATCCCTCTATCAGCACTGTTATATTACCAGAAGGTTTCCGTCTAAACACATAAATTTAGTCCAACACTGAAATGTTTGTGCATTTATTCTTGGTAATTTTAGCACAAAGCAGTAAAACACAAATAAATGTCATTTAAAATTTTATTTATTAAGAAAGCCTGACAGAAAAGCTTTCAGGCAGAGTAGTGTCTGTTATCCAAAATTTTAAAACATATTTTTGATACAATTCCTTTTAATATTACCATACAAAGTCAATAATGTATAAATCAAAGTATTTGTGCTTGGTGTTTTTATAAGGTATCGTATGCCTTTTCTTAGTATAATCTGGAATATGAATTCCCCAATTAAATCGTGCAGGAAGTCAATGAGTTTGGATTGTGTTACCTAAGTGCCTGACAATATCAGTTCTGTGCAATTAAAATGACATTATTTCATTTTTTATTTGACATTTCTTAATTAGCATTAGACAATTGATTAAGTCTTCAGTCAGCTGATTAAATTTTCAAGTCATTTTAAACCCATCATCTTCAATATGCAATCGTTATGGAACATATCAATCACTTTCTACATACGCATTGCAGAATTATTTCAAAATTTCAGTTCATTTTTTTATGTCTTTACATAAGCAGATTTTTTTTATCCATAATAATTTTTATTTGTCCTGATTATCAAATCATATCTAATAAATAATGAATCAGTATTTACCATGATCACTTGCATGGTCCAGGTATGAGGGACACTTGACGTATGCAATACTTCCGGCTGCAGTGTCGTCAAAACATCCATATCCATCCCACGTTCGAGGACAGTGTGACCAATTTGTTGGCGGGGGAGGTTGATTTAGTTGCCGTTGACAACATTTCGTCGCTGCCTGACAACAAGTTGTCCACTTTTCACATTCTTGTTTACTCAGAGGTTCACAAATTTGTTTCACCATAGAACTATTATCCAAGTCGGCCCTGTAGATTGATCCGGAAGGATACGAATATTTATATTGGGCCGCTGGACCAGCTTTGAACACAGGTCCGGAAGCAGTAAAGGTAAGGTTAAGCTGCGTGTCCGATTTGAACATGTAAACGTAACAGAACGAACACGTTAGAACTTTGAAGATGGAGACATCTTGACTCATCTGTTGATATCGGCAAATCATACTGGCTGAGTGGATTATTTTGTCTCGAAATTTCAAATGGCCGTCAAGAAGTGTGACAAAAATCGAACACTTATAAAGTCAAGACCTTTAATGTGTTCGATACTGCCATGGCATCTTCAAGAATACATTTATCTGCAGCAGGAGGGCAACACTTCTAGAGAGAAAAAACAGATATTGTAGAATAGGCTTCCTTTCTTTTTCTGTCGTTGTTAGGAATTAAGGATCTAAATCAGAGAAAAGAATCTGCCAGCATGCCAATAGGACGCAAAAATATGAAAATTTCTCGTGTAAACTGCGCTCTGTCAATCCGCTTTTTTGTGTTAAAGTGTTTGTTGTCTGAACACTAAATATTTTCTCTCTTATCGGCACAGGAATGCGTATGTCTTCTAAAAGTGAAAATGGCACTTTGCAGTGATTGCAAAAAATATGTCAAAACTTGTAGTCTAATCCAATAAGTATGTTCAAATTCAGATCGACAAGGAAAGCAACTTATTCAATACGCATGCGCTTATATTCGAACATATAAATTTGTTTAACCAACAATCACTTTTTTTAGCACTTCAATAGAACAGGGCTATCACAAAACGTGCCAGTAATTTGGGGGATGTCTCTGAGTCAATTCAAACAATGCCGAGAATCCATGAATAATGTGTTCTTATTGCTGTCGTTAAACGCTAATATGAGAAAAGGAATGTTTCATACCTCCAAGAACATCCGCTGAAAGATTAAAAAAGTCGGAATTGTTTTCGGATACCTGTTTTACATCTTATTATCTGTCTGTCTCTGCTTGTTTCCGATTCTTCCATCATATGAAAGAGAAGATCGAGTACTGAAAAAAAAACGTAAATCAACAGATACTCAATATTTATATAAAATATCATGTATTTATCTAATTCAACTTTAGTGTTCACTCTCAAAATTTGGATTCCTATATTTATTTACTCTCTTTTTTCCGATTTTTAAAGAATTATTTGAAGTTTTGGACGTAATTTGCAACCTTCTATTTCAAATTAAAGAAATTTGTATTACAAATTAAATACACTAAAGATCATACTGCCTCAATATGCGTGGACCCTGTACTGTTTTACTCTTATGTGAGAATAATGATGACTTAACAATTGGTTTGATATTGCTGTTACTATAGCAGGTGTTGTCTTAACAGATTCTTACAATCATACATAAGATAAATGGACAAAGTGCAAATGCTTCATCATTTAAAAAAAACAGCTGTTGTAAAAGCCGCGGACAGATTCAGGATTCACTCCGAGAAGAAAAGTGGGGTCATGGAAAAATAAATTATTTACTAATTATATCTAGAGACGCATGTTTATGATTTTTACTATTTACTGCGAGAGTGTTGACGAAAATCATTTGAGACAAAAGTTGCAAGCACTGTTTTGAACTCAAAATTCGATGTCATGGTATGAATTTTTGTATGCATGCACATAATTATGTATTCGGTGGAAAAAAATAACTTGTCCTATACAAGATCCTTTCAGAATGCTAGTATATAGCCACTTCAAAGGAAGGGGGGAAAGAATTTAAATGAATTATGTTGGAATTTCTTTAACTGTATAATATGTGTAGTTTTCAATTATTTGAAGATGAGGCTACATGTATAAGATATTTTCAAACCTGATTTTTGTGTTCCTGTACTTGTTTGTTCATTAAGCTTGAGCTGCTTGACCCGACTAACTTTCATTTTTAAGATATTATTTAGAAATTGGAACAGGGAGGAAGCTCTTTGTTTTATCCAACAACACAAAACAGACTTTTGCATTAAAGTCTGTTTTGTGCGGATTTTAATTTAGTATTCTGAAAGAGGCTAATCTACAGTACTATCAGATCCATTTCCAATTACAGAAAACTTTCGCTAAATGTCATAAAAATATACTGAGTACCAAGAGACTGGCAATATGTCTACATGATAAATGTGTATTAAATTCTAATGTCAACATTTTCATAAAAATGATGGCTATCACTACATGTAGAACATTGAATGTTTCTCTGCTTTGCAGTTTTTTTTCAATAGTATATACTGATACATGATTGAATTCCATTTCATGGAAACCATTCCAACTAGATATTGATAGTACATTCATATTTGTAATACTATTTTTTTATTATTATTTTACCGCCTAATAGGTTTTCAAATATATATCATGAAGAAGTGACATGTTCCAATTAAAGGAAATAATAATATTAACTCTGAGAAATTGAAATTGAGAATTAAATGAATGAATAAATAAACTGAAAAAGGTCGAAATGAAATGAGCATCTACATGTATAAAATATTGGTTCAAACAACACTTCTGGCCACTGAGCATTAAGGAATCTTTTTCGGTGCAATCATCTACTGCGACAGGGGATCACGGTGTATGCGATCTCGAACGTTAGAACAGAGCACAAAGGACAAGATAGGCTAAGACCCCTTTTTGGCCCCCGGTTCGGGGTGTCTTTTAGAGTGATGCAACAGTTTATCAGTTAAAAACCTGTTGTCACCCCTGCCACAAAATGAGTATTGGTTCTAATTATGGGATACATAGAGGTCACAGGTAGGTCAGAAAATATGTCAATTTCCGAATTTACTCATTTTTATGCAAATTTTCATAGATTTTACAGCACATTTTGGTTCAGAAAACATAGAGCACAAGCTTGCCTACCTACCAAATTTATATATTTCATACACTAGTATCAGATGCATCTTATGTATAAAAATCTCAGATAGGCAAGCGTGTGCTCTATGTTTTCCAAAGTAAAATGTATCTCGAATTTGACGAGATTTGACCAGAATTGAGGAAATTCGGGAAAATGTCCTACTTTTGCACCCTCTTGTGGCCTCCGTGTAAGCTTTGAATCATAATTAGTGTTGGTTTTAAAGCAAGCATCATTTAAAGTTCTTAACTACAAACTATCACAATTTTAACTGTGTTCTGATTTTTACATCAAATAAGGGGCCAGATTGGGCCGTTACCATACCTTGTCCTTTGCACAAAAAGTAAAAAATCTCACTTTTAGTTTATATCAATGCACGAATTAATTTTTCAATAAATACTTATTATCGAAATAAATTAACTCTTTCTAGAAAAATAAAGTATTTAACATTTGTTTTAATTTGATACAATTATGATATAGAAAACTTGTTTTGTTCGACATGTTGCAGAGAGATCATTACCATATAAGATTTTTTTTTTTTGGAAAAAAAACAAAGAAACTAGTGATTCAAATGAGGCACATTCTCCTATTTTTCAATTTTAGCTATACTGGTCAAAGACCAAAAGAGCTTAAGGATAAGTGAAGTATCCGTCGTCCGTCCGTCCGTTAATTTTTCCAAACGCTACCCCCCATTCAGTTTTGTTCTTACTTCAATGAGACTTTGTACACAAGTAAATTATACTAACCGGAGACACGCAATTCTACGAAGGTTGTTTGGTAAAATCGTGGACATGTTGTTTGGAGTGAAAAATTATATTAAAAACTGCTTTCTTAAATTTACCCTTCTCTTTATTAAATTTTCATCAATAATCATAGCAAATTCCAAATAGTTATATGCTCAAATAAACAAAACATGGGATTTTGTATTATGTGTGGTATCGCCCTACGGCGCACGAATGCTAACGTCGAATTGTCTAAAGCAACGTCACGTTTCATCTTTGCTTAAAAATGTTGGATAAGTCCCAATTAAATTCCGGGAATTTCAGTGATGCATGCACTCAAGTTCCCCTTTATTCCTTCATAAACAGTCGAGGGACCAATCTCGCACACACAGGGGACTTTTTGAAGATTTGAAGACTTGTATAGTAAGTTATAGAGGGTCCAACTTTCATTGAACTAAATAGATAGTCTTTTTCCGACGGTCCGCAGTGATAGCGTCTTTCGTTATTCCCAGTAGCTGACTTCAATAAGACTTGGTACACAAATGTACTAACTTAAGAAGAATAGTCTTAAGATACGTAGTTCTGTTTGTTAGGGATGATTCAGATGAAGAGAATTGCAAGTTTACTAAGAGTAGGACAATGTTGGAATTAAGGTCTGAATTTAATCAAGTGGGTACATAGGTGATCAAAATTCTTTTTTTTATTTTACCATATCCACTAAGTTTCAAGTGCAAGTGCTGCTTTTTCGTACTGTAAATAAAACTAGTAGAGCTACAGCCTCATCAGAGACTTCTGGGTGTTTTCCGATTCGTTTCTTACTTATTATATAATTTATTTATACATCTTTGCTAAGCATTATTTGATGTGTATAACTGTACGTGGAGATCTGATTGTTTTCTATATCACATTAATACTTCTCTTTAAAAAAAAAAAAAAAAAAAAAAAAAAAAATCGGTTGCAGCAGACGTTAGTTTCTTTTAAAAAGCAGTGGAAAATGCATGCGCAAGGAAAATAAATAAAGAAATGAAATCTCGTTTGCCACTTTGGACAGTTTGAGCGAAACTGAATATCCGTATGGAAAGACTTTGTAGAAAAGAGTAATAATCATTGATGCAAACCAATAAAAAAAAAATGACGTCAGACGTGTCATTCATCATACCTTGTAATTATAAAATTGGCCTTGAAATCTTCTTTGAAAATCAGACATAGTATTTGATTGCATGCTCTAATTTTATCTGCGGAATCTTTCAAATATCCAAAGATTCGGCATTTTTATCTCTTTCGACAGTGACATTCAATTTTCTCAAAAAATCTCTGACTGTAATTATCTATTACATGATAATCAAAGTTTAAAATGATTGCATAAGATTGAATCTCGGTGAATTCATCTGGTCAGCGTCACATAAATCTACCGAAATTCTTGTTTTAATGCTTAATGATCGTTCCATAGTACTAGATTAAAGAAAATGGGGGAAAAGGATACTTCTTAGCAGAGGGGATAATTGAAAATGGACTCTACAACTCGAGTATCATTAGCGGTAATGCGACAAAGAAGACTATAGTTATGTTTTGGCTTCTCTGACATAAATACATTCGGAATATAATTGGATGTTTCTACAGAGAGTATTTGTATAGTGATCGAGGACACTTCCGAGTCGGGGGATATTAAGTTCCTTATGAAGTGGACTTTTTATATCGTTATAGGACAAAATATAATAAAAACATTCTAATTGAAATTGGTTTTAGAAAATGCATGAACAAACAGCACCAACTGAAGAAGCTTTGAAATTGCACTGCTGCAGTTGGATGAAGAGGGTTTTTCCGCCATACCATTAACATGAATAAATCGATTTTAATAAGATAATAAGTTATATCATGTACATGCACATTGTAAGTTACTGGTTCGAACAAAACTAATTCACTATAATCTTTTACTTAGAAATACCTAGGTTTCTTGATCCCAATTTTCTGGGTATAAACATGTATAACCTTTGCAGAAATTAAAAGTTCTCGGGAAAGCTAGAATTAAGACGTTTTGATACTGTATGATAATGCCAAAGCAAATAAAAGTGATTTTGGGGGGCTTTTCCTTTAAAATTAATAATGCATGTAATTGCTTAAAATATCAGCCTGTATCCGGTGCTTGAGATATTGGTATTTTGAGAATGTTTCTAGAGTGTAAAGTTTTATGTTTAATTACTTTCACATGTGTTCTTGTACAATATTTTGAGAATCCCATAAAAATATCAAAAATAACTACACGTGCCTTAAGTCAAGTGGCATTTCGCTAAAAATTATAAACATTCTTTTTAATTAAGAAATTGCAATCTGTCAAGCTCACAAAAGGTGCGCATGCGTATTTAGTTTGCCATCTGTTGACATCATTACATAACTTACTTGAATTGAATTCAATACACAGATCTTTAGAATGCATAACCTTGAGTTGCAGTTC